CTTCCGCAGGGAAAACAGCCATTCCGCGTAGTTCGCGTGGGCCCTCCATGTTAGTATACAGAATTTTGTAATAAAAAAACAATGCTCAGTTGAATCCGTGTGACACAATTGCTCACATAACAAAGTACCGTAGGGACTAACATGTTGCCTTTGGGAAAGTCCAGAATCCAGGTGGAGCTGCTCCTTCACTTGGCACCCGACAAAGGGGCGCTGCTGGCAATGTGGGAGACCCGGATGTGATGCAAGGGTGCCCCTCATCTGTCAAATAGAATACAGCTATGTAAAGGATTCTTCCAGAAGCAACCACAAATCAAATTTTCGGCATAGCCATGTGGACTCTAATCCGGCTGAGACTTGGATTTTCATTTCCAGTCCAGAGGACTTTAGCCATACTGTTTTTCATGGCATCGCAAGTTGTGTTGACTTGGATGCCAATTCGACCACCAGCCAGTGGCTTGTTACGGGGCGACAGCCCAAGTTACATCCCGCGAAATACCGGGACTGTTTGTGGCCAGGGAGCCTGTGTGTCCCCGCCTGTGTATTGTCTGTGGCAGCCTAGTCGCTCGGTTTTGAACGAGTTGCTCCATCCATACCCCGCATTTAGAACCCCCTCTTCATTTTGATTTTGGGCTACCAAACAATCGTTAACAAACTCAGAAAAGTTCGTACTTGAATCAGAGGCAAACAGTGATATCAATACTGACTCCACATAACATGTTCTGCATAGTTTTAGGCCCAGCGTGTGATAGTCTTTGGGTTCATACAGCGCAGATAGCCGCCAGCGGCACACCGCCATCCGTATCAGCCCTTGATGCTGAGACCCTTTTTCTCAACCGAGGCGGGAATCTTGCAGTGACTGAAGTTCTCACCTTTCCTGGCTGGTTTTTGTCCTCTTCTGAAGTCTAAGTCTGAGTGGCGACTTCAGCGGATTGTTGCCACAAGTGCTGCTTTTCAGCCTTGTGCACGTCACGCCTGAACTTTGATAAAGCCTCCATTGCCTCATGTTGGTACACTTGACCTGCTACTTTGATCTACTTTGTGTATACCTGAACCATACTTAGAACACACGACGAACTTTCGTGGGGCACACCCCTGATACTGTCCTCGTTGCGCAGAGCTAGACACAGTCTGCGGCCCATCATCGACTTGTAGGAGTATTCAAAGCAAAGCTACTGTAAGGTCCGACAAGTTGGGACAGACTGCCTTGCACTTGGCCTCGGAGAAGGGACAGGGAGCTGTCGCCTTGACCTGAGCTGCAAAGCTGAGGGATCAAGCGAGGGGACTGCTTGGAAAGAATGGGGCAGAGACGGGCTGTTTTTGGGCCTGTACTTGGAGGCCCCAGTGGTTCTTGAATGCTCTTATTTCGAGAATCGCATGAAGGCCTCGTAAAAGGATTCTCGATTGATGCAATGTCTAACCAGTCCTACCAAGTCCAACCCCCAAAGGTTCAAAAGCTGCTCAGCATGGTCGGCGACACCAGCGGGCTGATCGCCGCAAGAGAACGCATTACAGGACCTTGGCGATAGCTCCTTCAGCCTCTACCCCTAAAGGACTTGGTTCATTGTTAGGAAACGTTCGCGTTTTGATGCGTCTTGTGTGTTTGAGAAAGGGCCCTCTGCTTCGGCAGGCTGTGAGACGGCATGCCTCAGAGCCCAACGATCAGGAAAAAGAGTTCAACATTTCGTGTGTTCAATTGCTGTCTTCGCCTCTGAGTGAATTTCCTTGCAACCATCCCCTAACAATGTCGTCGTGATGTTGAGAAATCCCCGATATGCCAGAGCCTCCGTATGCAAGCCTGCGACTTCACGGCATTGCATGTTATCCCCCACACCTCAGCCCTAAATCCTGCCCGAAGGACAGACAGCACTTCATATGGCAGCAGAGTGCGGCCACAGCCAAGCTGCTAGGAGCTCAGATCATGGACCTTCCGAGGCCTAGGGTGAGGGACCTATGGGAGTACATCCTCATAGGTTTATGTAAGGAGATGCACGGTATTTATAGGCTGTTTCTTGGGGCTTGGGGCTCCTGTCGGCAATAAGGAAATCACATATCGGGGCTATACAAATTATCCGGAGGCTACGGTTACAGCGGCATTCTGCACAGGTACAGAGTGTGTGCAAAGTTATTGTGAATGCAAGTTGAAGCCAGCTAATCATAGCTTAAGTGGCAGCAAGTCTTGGATGCTGTGCAGCCATCTGCA